CTACGGCAAGCAGGAATACTGGCGTGCTCGTCTACGATGCTCTTCCATGTTTCGCCCGTGAAACTCTTTCTGGATCGGTTGATTGCCGTGCTGAAAAGCAGATCCTGAGTTCAAATCCGGCTCGGTATAGATTGTGCCCAGGATACAGAGAAGATGAGCGTGGAGGCTGCGCAAAGATGAACGCAGAAATTTTCGTAATCGGCTTTTTATTGGGGGAGTTATCTCAAAAGGGAGTAACATTTGAGAAAAAACGTATTTAAAAAAAAGAAAAAGGTAGAGAACTGTGCTGCCCACTTTGGGCACATTACTTACCATCATGCATAGAACGCCAATAGGGAGTTCCTGGCCATTTTCATGTCCACATTCCTGTCCACGTTCATGTCCACGTTCCTGTCCACATTCCTGGACATTCCTCGTGGGTTTTCTTCCATTATGGGAATTGCTCGCCATGTTCCTGGCCACATTCCTGTCACATTCCTTGCCACTTTCCTGGTCCTCACGTTGCTGACCACATTCCTTGGCACGTAGGAGGCCACGTTCCTGGTCACATTCGGGAATCGGAGTGTATAAACTGCGTAACTAAGGAAAGATACGTACATGTCTTGCACACATGAGTGAGACGCCACATGAAAAACAGGATGCCGGTCCTTCGGGACATCCGTTAAAACTGGACATGGCCCATGCGCAAGGATGACACGCACAAAGTTCCAAAAAAAAGAAAAAAAACAGGACGCAGCGTGCGCTGTATGTCGGACAAGGTCGTGTACGGTAGATACACGTGAGATACAAGAGAACTATATGTCGAGTGTATCTGACCGGATACATTCGAAAGAAAGTGCTATCGAAGGAGGAAGAAGTAGAAGAAGTAAGAAGATGACGAGCTCGTGTAGACTGCCTGTTGTTCTTTCCCATCATCTTCTGTGTTATTCCTATTGTTTTCTTCTTCTTCTTCTTCTTCTTCTTCTTCTTCTTCTTCTACTACCTCCTCCTCCTCCTCCATTAGCACTTTCTTTCCAACGTACCCAACCATAAACGCGGTCAGATACACTCGACATACAGCTAGCGTATTCTCATATGTTTATTAGGGATTAATCTTATATTGTATCTGCGTGCAAATGCGGCTGCGAAGGAGACTAGAGTGTGGGGCTGGCTCTGTGTGTGTGTGTGTGTGTGTGTGTGTGTGTGTGTGTGTGTGTGTGTGTGTGTGAGA